CCCAGTGCCTCGCACATGTCGCGTTCACGCTCCAGCATGGCGAGGCGTCGGTGCACGCGCCAAATGGCCAGCTGCTTGGACTGGGCCATGGTGTGAACGTTGTGAACGAGCTTGTCGAGACGAGTCGTGTCGGCGGCCGAGAGCTCCTCGAGGGTCGTCGCATCGCAGATCCCAAAGACGAGAGCCAAATCGTCGACGTCTTGCGAGACAAAAGCGTACGTTTCTGCACCATAGTACCACACGACTCGCTTGGCGCACTCGATGCGGTGGATGCGCGCTGCAATGTCCTCGCGGGTCATGCCCTCGTCGGCGACAACGTCCGGTGACGGCGCGTAGTACGGGCCGACAGTAGCACACGACTCGCTTGGCGCACTCGATGCGGTGGATGCGCGCTGCAATGTCCTCGCGGGTCATGCCCTCGTCGGCGACAACGTCCGGTGACGGCGCGTAGTACGGGCCGTGGGTGAAGCGCAGCGTGGCGCCCGTGTGAATAGGACCCTTGGTCATCGTGCTGTAGATACTCCGACGCTTGGCAACCATGATGTCAGTGGACGAATGAGCTCGAGATCCTGGCGTTCGATGACGGTGACCATCACTCACGACGACGGTTTCGGACAACTCATCATGACGTGGCGCGTCGAGCGGCGAGGACACGTGCATCGGGATTGTCAACGTCGAAACGGGAGACAACTGAACACGCGCTTGTTCAGTGTGCCTGTCATCAAGCCGCAGAAGGAAACTGTACTATCCACTAGGAGTGCTGAGTTGGTAGCTTCATTCGGATATCAAAACTTGACGTCGATACGAGACGCGTATCCTTGGTTGGAGCAAAGACACGGTGAATATGGACACGAAGCACGAGCAATAGCTGTCTATGTACGTCTTCAGTCCTTAGCGTTCCTATATGTGTACTAGAGCTTCAAGCCGGGGCTTAAGGCTGCAAGATTTTCCCTATTTCAGCTCCCACCCTTTACACTCGGCATACAAACAACAAGTCGAATCGGACGCTCGATAGCTTTTACGCCCTTGAAAAGGCATGAGCAAAACATCGTTTGCCATTTTCGATCCAACTTGCTACGACGAACATGACTGCTTACTTTGGCCGCGCTACGATGGCTGCCTTGACCGCCGGGCTGGCCTACATGATCTACTCCAACGCCACGTCCACGCCTACGGACGTCACCGACGACGCA